CCTCAGCACCAGGCTCAACCAGACCACCGAGACCAGCCAGACCAGATGCAAAAAAATCTGCAATGCAAAAAAAACTGCAGTGCAACAAAAAAACTGCAATGCAAACAATAACTGCTTTTCGGTGGTGGTAGTGATTGTCGCGGCCTCCCTGGACCTCCCCTAAACCACACTCGCCTGAATCCTAAGCTAAAGCCTAAGCACACCAAGCTCAAACCAGACCAGCCAGACCAGCCAGACCAGATGCAAAAAAAATCTGCAATGCAACAAAATCTGCAGTGCAAAAGAAACTGCAATGAAAAAAAACTGCTTTTCGGTGGTAGTGGCTGTCGCTGCCTCCCCAGACCTCCTCTAAACCACTCTCGCCTGAATCCTAAGCTAAAGCCTCAGCACCAGGCTCAACCAGACCACCCAGACCAGCCAGACCAGATGCAAAAAAAAAACTGCGATGCAAAAAAAACTGCAATGCAAAAAAAACTGCAATGCAAACAAAAACTGCTTTTCGGTGGTGGTAGTGGTTGTCGCTGCCTCCCCGGACTTCCCCTAAACCACTCTCGCCTGAATCCTAAGCTAAAGCCTTAGCAACAAGCTCAAACCAGACCAGCCAGACCAGCCAGACTAGATGCAAAAAACTGCAATGGAAAAAAAATGCAGTGCAACAAAGACTACAATGCAACAAACAACAAAAAACTGCAATGCAACAAAATATGCTTTTCGGAAGGGGTAGTGGTTGTTGCTGCCTCCCTGGACCTCCCCTGAACCACTCTCGCCTGAATCCTAAGCTAAAGCCTCAGCACCAGGCTCAACCAGACCACCCAGACCAGCCAGACCAGATGCAAAAAAACTGCAATGCAAAAAAAACTGCAATGCAAAAAAACTGCAATGAAACAAGAACTGCTTTTCGGTGGTGGTAGTGGTTGTTGCTGCCTCCCTGGACCTCCCCTAAACCACTCTCCCCTGAATCCTAAGCTAAAGCCTCAGCAGCAGGCTCAACCAGACCACCCAGACCAGCCAGACCAGATGCAAAAAAAACTGCAATGCAAACAAAACTGCAGTGCAAAGAAAACTGAAATGCAAACAAAAACTGCTTTTCGGTGGTAGTGGTTGTCGCTGCCTCCCAGGACCTCCTCTAAACCACTCTCGCCTGAATCCTAAGCTAAAACCTCAGCACCAGGCTCAACCAGACCACCCAGACCAGCCAGACCAGATGCAAAAAAAACTGCAATGTAAAAAAACAGCAATGCAAAAAAACTGCAATGCAAAAAAAACTGCTTTTCGGTGATGGTAGTGGTTGTCGCTGCCTCCCCGGACTTCCCCTAAACCACTCTCGCCTGAATCCTAAGCTAAAGCCTCAGCACCAAGCTCAAATCAGACCAGCCAGACCAGCCAGACCAGATGCAAAAAAACTGCAATGCAAACAAAACTGCAGTGCAACAAAAACTGACAATGCAAAAAAATGCAATGCAACAAAATCTGCTTTTCGGAAGGGGTAGTGGTTGTTGCTGCCTCCCCGGACCTCCCCTAAACCACTCTCGCCTGAATCCTAAGCTAAAGCCTCAGCACCAGGCTCAAACCAGACCAACCAGACCAGCCAGACCAGCCAGACCAACCAGAGCACTCAGACCAGATGCAACTCCGACCAACTTGTTCTTTGGAAGCTTGGCGTCCCGCCGTGCGCTACACGGCTAAGAACTTGATCAGCATCATCAGCATCGTAAGTATCGTCGTGGTCAGCATCATCATCAGCATCATGATCATCGCCATCATCACCATCACAACCATCATCAGCAGCATCATCATCTGACTCCGCATCATCATCATCATCATCATCATCATCATCATCATCATCATCATCATCATCATCATCATCATCATCGTCATCATCATCATCATCATCATCATCAGTATCATCATCACAAGCAGCATAATCGTCATTGGCATCAGCATCACCACCATCAGCATCATCATCATATTACACTTCATCGTCATCATCATTACCAGCATTATCATCATCATAACCGCCATCATCAGCATCACTATCAGCATCGCCATAAGCATCATGATGATCGACGCCCTCATCACCAGCACCATCATCATCAGCACCATCACCAGCGTTATTACCACCATCAGCATCATCAACATCAGCAGCATCATCATGATCATCGGCAACATCGTCGTTATGAGTATTATCATCATCGTCAACATCACAACAACTATCACCGTCATAATCCTCAATACATTACCATCATCAACTGCATCATCAGCATCATCATCCTCACCATGAGCATCATCAGCATCAGCAGCAGCATCGGAAGTATCATCAACGTCATCATCATCAGCAACATAATCATTATCATTATCATCATCGTGAACACCATCGTCATCAGCATCCTTACCCTCATCCCTTGTTTCTCCTGTTCGTCCCCGTACTCCGCGTCGTCATCATTCGCTTCCTCATCCTCCTTTTCCTTCTCTCCCACTCCCTTCTCCTCCTCCCCAGCCCTCGTCTTTTTTTTGAAAAAAAAATCATCAATATCAGTCTCCTTTCCCTTCATCACCACTCCTCCTACCCGCTCCCTCCGCCTCCGCTTTCTCCTCCTCCTGGTCCTCCACCTCCTCCTCCTCCTGCTCCTCATCCTCTTCATCCTCCGCCTCCTACGTCTCCTCCGCCCCCCGCCCCCGCCTCCTCGTCCGACTCCTCATCATCGCTCCCCCCCGCCTTTCCCCCACGCTCTCCTCCTCGTCCTCAATTACCCCCGTCTCCCCACCTTCCTCATTCCTCCCGCTACTCCTCCAGTTCCTCCTCCTCCTCCTCCTCCATCTCCTCCTGCTCCTGCTCCTCGTCCTCCTCCTCATCCTCCTTCTCCTCATTCCTCCTCCTCCTCCTCCTCCTCCTCCCCTTCCTGCCCCTCCTCTTCCTCCATGCCTGTTCCTTCTAGATAACCCCTCCCTGACGCACCCCGAGGCCGGTCGAGCGGGCCGGGCGTTTCGCTTGAGACTTCCTCACCACCAATTAGCCTGAAGCTTCAAAATTGACAACAAATCCACACGTGGAGGGCGGATGGTTTTCAAAATGTGGTTCTCGTTTTGGCGCCGCGCACATTCGTTTGTAACATTTGCAAGAGCGGGTGGTTTCTGTAAATGTGGCTCTCGCCTTAGCGCGAGGGCGGGTCCGTTTCAACATGTGGCCCTCACCTTAGCGCCGCGCACATTCGTTGCAGACATTTGCAAGAGTTTGACGAATTGACGGCGGTTCGTTTTCAAAATGTGGCTCTCGCCCCAGCGCTGCGCACATTCGTTTTTAACAAATCACACAAGCTTCGCACACTCTCAAGGTTAACGTACCAAAAACGGTGCTTTGGAACGATTAAGAAATGTCAGGACGTAACAGCTACGCTGACTCGCGGTGTAAACGTCCCAGGAATTTTCTGGCACGACTCAGGATCGCCAAGACGGAACAGTCAGGTTCACTCGTGGCGTTGAAGCCATGAAAAAAAGGGTTTGTGGCACGCCTCCGGATTTTCACACGGCTCTCCCTTAACGGTGCACTTCCCTCAATGGAAATGAACCCTTGAAAGGGCCTATGAGGAGGGAGCTTGAAGGGAGGGTGTATTCCAACACCCTTCAAGAGTCTTCGGTTTACACCGGTCCTCCTCCTCGTCCCCCTAATCGTCCTCATTCTGCTCATCCTCGCACTACTCCCTCGCTCCAGCCTTCACGCCACCGACGTACACTGGCGACCCCCGACATCCTCCGGCCACGGGCGTCTACTTTTTGTGACAATCGCTGCTGTGGGCGGCACTCCTGCCACAGGCCAGGCGCGCAGGCGCGGCGTTCTGAACGGGAGACACCGGCGATACGCCAACGCCGGTCCTGTCCAGGCCCGTCCTGGGCACGGGCTCGGCGCACATTCCCGGCAGCAGAAGCGGCGATCTGATTTTTCTGTCGATTTGGCCCGACCTGGACACAACGCGGTATCGCAGTTCGTCGTTCGCCACATCACTAAAACTCCAATGCTGACTTGCGCGCGTGGGTCCGCAATACACATCCTACCAGACCTCGCCATGATGCACCGCGATACGCTTCCCCATCCGCCCAGAAATGGTTGACGCCATCAGCGTCCGATTTTGCTTCCGATTTTGCGTCCGATTTTGCGTCCGATTTGCGTCCGATTTTGCGTCCGATTTTCGTCTGATTTTTGTCCGATTTTGAATCCGATTTGCGTCTGATTTATTCTAGTGTTGAAACGACACACAAAAAATCGGACGCGAAATCGAACGCGAAATCGGTCGCAAAATCGGTCGCTTCTGGGCGCACTTCCGGGCGCTCTTTCGGGCGCTCTTCCAGATTCGCGTCTGGGCCATATTCTGGGCACTCTTGACGGCGCTTTCCTGGGCGCTGTTCTCGGCGCTTTTCTGGGCTCGCCCGGGCGCTCGCCCCAGCGCGCTCCCAGGCGCTCTTCCGGGCGTTGTTCTGGTCGCCCCCAGCGCACCTTCTGGACACCAGGCGCACGCCCATTTTCAATGTGAAAACCGAAAACCAAAAAAATCAGAAGCAAATCTGCTCTGCCACCGCGGCGAGGTTACGCCCTCCTGGACCGGCCAGGAAGGCATGTACATCGACCCTGGGCGTGGGGCGTGGGACAGGTCTGGCCACAACATGACGACGTGCCCCAAGTCCTGAGCCTGGGCAGAGCCGCGAAAAATGTCAAGCACAAACAGGCAGCCGCTTTGAAGGGAAGCACCACCTTGTCAGGCGCAAAGCACTGCAGAAGAGCGCGCGATGCGGCACAACGAGTGCAGCAACACTACGACTGTCTACGCCGCTCATGACGCTCGCTGGGCTGCTGCATGACTGAACTGCCGCAATACGCTCACGGGAACCGTCATGCACGTCAGACTTATATCCAGAAGGACCCTGTCAGCCCTGCACCAATGGACCAGCTGTTCGCCATCCACCGTTCAAAAGCAAGCGTATAGACAGCGACACGACCAATGCAAGAGCTACATGGGCTCGGATCCGCTTGACCCCAACTCGCGCATATCCTCCTTCGACAAGTTGATGCTAGAGATGTCCACATCCTGCTTGAGGTGCTCGAGGCTTGTGGAAGCCAGCGCCACCGCCACGCCCTGCTGGGTCAGCCACCGCAACGCTACCTGGGCTGGTGTCTTTCCATGCTTCTTGGCCTCAGCAACCGCCAGAGCGAACGGTGTCTGCTATCAAATGTTGCATACTGACGTCCGCACGAGAGTTCCAATCACAAGGACAGATCTGAGACACAGAACCCCTCGCTGTGAAGCGTTTGAAAAATGTTGCGATCGAAACTACCGATCAATCAGAATGCGACTAGGGCCGATGCAATGCTGTGGAGCTTCGGGCTCTGCAAGACGCCGCCAGACCCTAGGGGTGAGTAAGCCTGCACCGTGATTCCAAACTTCTCATTGCTCTGCAACACACTCCGGTCCGCATTCCCCGTGTTGTAGTTCATTTGGTTTACCGCTGGCAACGTGGCCGAATTGTTACGAGCAATGCACGTTAGATGCTCGTCTCTGAAATTGCTGACAGCGATGACGCGCACATTCCCAGCACGGTACAGTTCCTCCAATGCCTTCCACTGACCCTCGATGCCATCGCAACCAGCTGACGACGGATAGTCCAGCATAAGCATGTCGAGCGTATTGTCGCTCGACAGCATTTCCAGCTGGTTCCGAGCTTGACCTCAGTGTTCTGCAAGTGGCACATGCCCCATGCCACAGATGACGCTTACAGCAAGTCACGCCAGCTGTGCAACAGTGCTCACTTGTTTGCACCTGGCAGAGAGATCGCACGCCAAGGGAGGCACGCAAGCTGCCGACTGATCCAACACCGAACCCCGAACGTCCGCTGCTCACTGACCAGGAGGACGGAGATAGAAGGAGATAGAAGGAGGAAGGGGGTTGGAGCGAAACATGGCTGAGACCGTTATGATGATCAGGCTGCTCTCTGAGAGAGCGGCTCATAGTGGTCTGGTAGCAGTCACTGGCGGTGCACTGGGGATTCATCACCGTGCCCGCCACAAAGAGCTCTGAGCGCGCCAGCCCCGAGGCATCCATGGCCTCGCGCTGCGCGCGCTGGCAGCCGTCGCCTATGATCTCGGACGACCAGATGTTGCGAAACCCAGCAGTCAGGGCGTGAGCGGTGGCCCTGCTTGGGGGACGCCAAGTGGTAGTTTTGCCTAGCCTGTCAGGGAGGCGGCCCCAGAGACACGCGATGCCCTGCAAGCGGATGACGTGACGCTCCGCTCCGCGGGGAGGCTCGGAAAGGCTGGAAGCCTTGACGGCTGCGAACCTCCAAGTGGATTGCATGTCGCACCAAAGAGTGGTGGGCCAGAACCGGCGGCGCGACACACTGACCCACAACTTCCGACCGTGTTCCCACTGGCGACAGCTACACTGACGTTTCGGCATCGCCGATCGGGACATTGCCCATCTATCGAAACAGGCCAGGCCTTGCTGGGCATGCGGCTCGGCAGGCCGCCTGGCCAGTAGGCGCGTGCGACTGCGCTTCGTAGCACTGGCCAGGCCAAGACAGACTTCAAAACAGCTGCAATCCCAAAGTGTCCTGGCGAAGGGCCCGATCAAATGCAATTCTGAATAGCACATGGTACCGCTTTCCGTGGAGCTCACCACGGGGCCACGACCATCGTGAGGGGTGTGCCGACATGGGCGGGGGGGCGCATGCGGACTCCGCTACTGGGGCCTTCAGTGGAGCGCCTGATGGGACAATCCTCGTTATGTGTGTGTGCCGAAATTGGCGGGGGGACGCATGCGGACCCTGCCACTGGGGCCTTCGGTGGAGGGAGCTCCCTATGGGCAACGATCCTCGTGAGGTGTGTGCCGAAATTGGCGGGGGGGCGCATGCGGACCCTGCCACTGGGGCCTTCGGTAGAGCTTCCATATGGGGCCGCGATCATCGTGAGAGGTGTACCGAAATGGGCCGGGCCACTGGGGCCTTCGGTTGAGCTCGGTATGGGGCAACGATCCTCGTGAGGGGTGTGCCGAATTGGGCGGGGAGCGCATGCGGACCCTGCCGCTGTGGCCTTCGGTGAAGCGCCCCATGGGGCAACGATCCTCGTGAGGGGTGTGCCGACATGTTCGGGGGAACTCATGCGGACCCAGCCGCTGGGCCCTTCGGTGGAGCTCCTCATGGTGCCACGATCCTCGTGAGGTGTGTGCCGACATGGGCGGGGTGACGCATGCGGACCCAGCCGCTGGGTCCTTCGGTGAAGCTCCCTATGGGGCAACGACCCTCGTGAGGGGTGTGCCGAAATTGGCGGGGGACGCATGCGGACCCTGCCGCTGGGGCCTTCGGTGGAGCTCCCGATGGGGTCACAACCATCGTGAGGGGTGTGCCGAATTGGGCGGGGGAGTGCATGCTGACCCTGCCGCTGGGGCCTTCGACCGAATCATGCATCGGATCGGATGTCGAGATGCATGCTGACCCTGCATGCATCTCGACATCGGA